GCTGGGCACCCCACGCTCCCTGCAAGGGGCAAGAAGCTGTGAGAACCCAGGAAGGTCGTTCGTCCTCGAAAGGCAACACCTGCCAGGCCCCGAGCGAGGAAGTGGGACCGGGGAGGCCTAACCTTTCTCCTCCCTGGCACCCAAAACGACTCACCGGCACACTCACGCTAGGCACTGTTTCCCAAACCCCAAATAAGACCTGTTGTGAAAGCTCCCAGCCCCCAGGCGAGTCCCAACCAGCACTGGGGTCACAGTCGGGCTCGGGGCGCCCCGGGCCCCAGAAGGAAGCTGGGGTTCGGCCCATCTACCTTTGCTCCATCTCCTTTTGAATTTCTTTATTTAACTCATCGACTTTCTGTTGTAGTTTCTTCCTTCTCTGTTCTGGTGGGAGGTTGCTGAAATCCTCTGGCGTTGCACCCTGCGGACACAAACATAAGTGAGCCAGGAAGCCTGGGGCTGCTCCTGGAGAAGAGACCCCAAATAAAGCTGGGAGAGTCCCCCACACCAGGAGAGTGATGCCGCACCGTTTGTCAAGTCAACAAAGCTTGTCCCACGACACCCAGCTGAGAGGCAAAATCCGTGCATGCAAACAGCAAGTCCCTCAGCCGCTTCGCAGGCCTTTGCTGACCACGCGCCCGTGAGGAGGCGGGGAGGGGAAGGCCACGAAACCCGGACTCGGCGGGGGCACCTCGCGCCCGAGCCCCAACCCCCAAGGTCCATCCCTCTGCCACCCGAGAGCCGGCCACTCCTCCTTGGTATCTTTAGGGCACGCTCAGGAAACCCGCCCAGCCACCCTCCCTGCAGGAAGCCTCGCTGCCTCGACCCCCAAGTCTGTGAGGGACACGACGCCCTCTCGGGACAGGGCTGCCTTCCCTCCGCCTGTGACGGAGGCCGGAGAGGTCCCGTTTCCAGACGTGGCTTCCTGGCCAGAGAGCTCTGGGTCCTCGTGGCTGCTGAACGTTCCCTTCGGAGGAGCTGTTTTCATAGAGGTCAGGGAAGACTGGACTTGGGGACAAACTGAAGGAGAGCAGCAGGCTGCTGGGGCGGCCGTCGGCCCAGAACCGTGGGGCCAGCAGCGCACAAGTTCCAGCTGCTGGTGGCCGCCGCCCGTCCGTGTGCACGTTGCTCGGCGACGGGTCTCGTATGCGTCACGCCAAACCGAGCGAGAGCCGCTTGCCTCGAGTCCCGTGACCAGGCCAGTTCTCCGCACTGAGGCCCAGACTGGCCTCTGGTCGCAGGCAGCCGCGTCCCGACACTCGCAGCCTCCAGCGCGGCTCCCGCGCTCCCTTCCCGCACCGGCCTGAGGCACGGCGGCTCCTGGGCAGGCCGGAGCGAGCTCTGCACTCCCTGGGGCGGGCGCTGCTGTGGGCGTGAGCTTCCAAATTTAGGCTCTTTCACTCCTGTGCCAGCAGCACCGGCCACCCTGGAGCCGCATCGCTGTTGTGTGTGCGGAACTCCGGACACTGGCGGACGCGCCGCCTCTGCTCCTGGGGCAGCTGCGACGGCCCCTCTGAGGCGTCCGAGCTGCTCTCGGGAGGACGTTTCCAGCTCCCGTGGCCACGGAGGTTCAGGCAACCGCCTCCTCGAGGTCCAAGAAGCCCAAGGTTCCTGGAAGCGCTTGGAAAGGCCACTCCGTCCCATTGCTGCTGCTCCGACTCTCCTAAACAGTACCCTGCCCCCCGCTCCATGCCAGCTACTTCTTAAAGGTTTTACAAACCATCTTGTGCCAAGCTTCTGTATTAGCTTCAATGTAATGGCGACGGCTCAGGCCTGGCGGCTTCCAGGACCTGCCGCGTGCGGACGGCCCCTCTCGCTTTCCCTGCGCGGCGCCTCCGTCACGGACGGTGAGGACAGACCCCGGGATGCGCGGGGCCCGCCCCGGGGCGTCCACTGTGGCACCCCCGGGGCCCTCCCAGGGCCCTGCGCGGGATCTCGGCGCCCACTAGGAAACGCCTCACTGTGAACGCCGCTCCTCAGGGCTGAGCCCCTCCCAGCGCGGAGTCGGCTGAGAAGACGAAGCCTGTGTGCATGCCGGTGCTCAGAGCAGCAGCACCCTGGGGGCGCCAGCAGCGCGTGGATACTGACCTGGCTCCCGGCTGAAGCGTCTGTTTACCCCGGCACACCACTCCGGGATATGCTCAGCTCGTGTGACAGCTCACACGTATTTGAAGCACAGTTACGGGTTATGAGGTTAAGAGGTTCTTCGAATAAACGATTAGTTCTACTAGGGCTAGGCGATTAAGGAGAGACTACGAGACACACCGAGGGGACACGTTCAGAAAGGCCTAGAGGCTACTTCGCTCACATTTGTGCGTTCTTGGCTCAGCTCGGCCCAAGGCGCCCTGGCGTTGGCCACACCCTTCAGGGTGGTCTCGAGTCTCGCCTGAATCGGGGCCGGCATCCTTTGGGCAAGCCCCCAAGAAGGCCCCCCGGGATTTCCATCTCCCCTAATACTCCAGGAAGGAGCAGCTCCCAGTTCTTCAATTTACCTTTGTTCCAAATATAGTCCCATACTTCTAGCCGGAATCCTATTTAAATGAAGCGTACCGTCCTCTTAAGGCCCCATCATTAAAGAAAACCAAAGCGGGGTTAGGAGTTAATTTTCTTAGCTCTGGAAGATTAAGGTCACTCGGAGATCTGGGACCTTTGCATCCCACAGGGAGAATAAAGAAAACACCAATGAAGCAGCGGAAAAAGCAGGCAAGTCCAGGGGGCCAAGACACACCTCACACGGCACCCACAAACACACACCAGAGGCCTCATCGGGCTCGGACATGCAGGGAGCGTTGTGCTTACCAGCTTGAGAGAGAGCTTCGTGTGAAATGCCAGGGAGGAGAGAAGGGGAGAGAAACAGAAACACATCAGAAGGGGAGCGGCTCCCGCCCGCCACCACTACACCACAGACGTTCACCTGCGCTCGTGATGGCGCCTCTGTGCGGAAGCTCACATGGGGGGGCCCTGCCGAACCCCTCTCTCGCTGCCACGTGGCCAGAGGGGGCCCGTTGACGCTTCTCAACCAGCCACATCTGCCTCGCCACAAACTAAACATGACTTTGCCACCTGCCGGATGAGGATTCTGAAAGTCACCAAATGCCCGGGGATGTTGGGACGGCCTAAGACCTGAGGCGGAGTTACTCTACGACACACGCCTTTTAGCAGAAAACACCTAGTCCATTCCAACTCTGACATTTGCTAAAGGTGAAGGCAAACTGGCCACTGGTGAGTGGGAGGCCGGCGTGGGAGGGGGCACTCGCTGACTGGGGCGACGCTGGGTCTCTGCAGGAAACGGCCACGGTCGGGCGGCAGGGGCGTTGAGCTTTGGGTAACCAGCAGGACCTGCGGGCTGGAGAGCAGCAGCAGCAAAGGCTGGCCGCCCTTCAGCGGGACCCCAGGCGGCGCCACGTCAAAAGAAAGAAACATCCGGTTCTCGTCAGGAGCAGGGGAGACCAGGGGCCGTAGGCGGGGCTGGAGGGCCCGTGTTTCCTCAGCTGGTAGCAATCACTCAGAGTGGGTAGCCGGATCTGAGAAATGTCAGACAAAGCGCCAAAGAAAGGGCCCTTTGATTCTTAAATTGCCGGAGGAGAGGGCTTCAAAATCCCCTCACGGGATTTCAATAAAATCCTACCCTGCAGGCTAACTCAGAATCCTCACCTCCTTGAAAATGGCATGAAGTGGTTAAAGAAAACGCCCCACGGAGGGAAAAGGGCTTTTAGCAAGATGAAACTTGGAAGCAGCAGGTGGGTGGGGTCCCGGGCAGCGGGGGGTCCTGCACCCCTCCTGCGAGCTTCTGCACAGACCCCCTCACCGCGCGGAGCTGCTGACAGACAACACTGCTGTCCTGCGCCCTCCTGCCGCGGACACGAAGATCCAAACCTGAACCCCGCGCACCCCCTCTGGGCTCCGTCCCTCCCCCAGCGTCGCTCCCACCCTGCGGTATTTCTGAACCGGACTCTGACTTAATGGCGCGTCGTCCTGAAAACCAGGAAACGGGGGCACTGCGCTCTCAGCTCTGGGGTGACAGCGATGGGCCGTCGGGAAGCACCGTCCCGGCACGGGGTGCTTTCAAGCCCGCACGGACTAGCGTCAGCCCAGCCAGTGGGGTCAGGCACGGTGAGAAGCCTGGCACCTGCCGGGAGAGCTCGCGCACAGGTACAGGTGTGGCACACACCCGGCACACACAGCCTCAGGGGATGGCGTCTGGGACCACACGTCAGTAACACATGAGGGACACAGAGCACGTCCATGTGTTACTGGGCCGTCACAGGTACTAACTGCGGGAGCAAGAGAGGGGACGTGTGGACACCGAGCCCCGAGCGCCGCTGCCCACTCCGGCCTCGCTCTGCTCTGTCCGTCCCGTGTTTCTCACAGTCGAGGCGCGGCGCCCGGGGGCCTGCGGTCGGCAGCGCCTGGAAGGCCGCCCGCCCGGCCCAGCCCTGCGCTGCGTCTTAGGGCTGAGATTCAGACTCAGACACCTCGGTTACAATCACTGAAACGGGGGTGCTGGGGTCACGTGTGCAGCTGTCACGTGTTGCCGGACAGCCGGGCCGTTTCCCAGCAAGTTTTCTTGAAGGAAGGAGCCGGGCTGGGTGTGGCGCCTCAGGCTCCCTTCCGTGCCCGGTGTCTCCCTCGAGAGCGTCACTCTGCGTGGGGATGCCTAGCGGGCGCCGGGGTCCCCAGTCTTGGAGCTGTCGGGGTTAGTGCCTGTGTGGTGACCGAGCAGCGGCCGTGGCAGGACTTACGACGTAGTCCCTAGCTTCAAAAGCACACGTGGGCTTCCCTAGCGTCCTCTTCACGAGCTCCTTGTGGAAGCAGAAAGACTGAGTCTGCCAACAGTGAGAACAAGGCAGGGTGAGCACAGCGGGAGACCCATGGCCGGCGCCGCGGCAGGGCCTGGAGAGCTCGGCGAAGCCAGGTTCCCTGCCCACGGCAGTGGCGGACCACGGACAGCAGTTCTGTTTCATTATCAAGAAACGAAACAGTTTTCTAAGACACGTCTGCACCAGACTGTACATCTAAGGACGATGACAGTCTGAGGACGGACAGGCCGTTGGGCCGGACCTGAAAACGGCAAAGCACGATGGATTAAGACACTCACGTCAGCGACGGCTGACTGCCGGGACGCTTCCCACCTTCGGCGCGATGGCCCCAGAGCTGGACAGTGGACAGAAGCAGAGCACGAAACGCAGGCGGGTGGGCCGCCCAGCCGCGGGTCAGGCCACTTTGCTCCGCCGCGTTCTTCCTCCCTAGATTCACTCCGGTGACGCTCCCCCCCCTCCCGTCACCTCTCTCTGCATCCCTCCCCCCCTTAGGCGGTCCACTGCTTCCCACGAAGGGGACAGCGACCATGCCCCGGCTGAGGACAGGTCACCACGGCGGGCAGGCTGGGCCCCCGCGTGCTGTGTTTGCGTTCTCGCAGGAAAACGGCACCTGGGGGACCGTTTCCCTCAGGACGTTATTTGAGCAGAAGTTGAGGCGTGAGAAATAAGTTTCATTTTGCTAATTATGGTTTAAAATAAAATGGTGTCCTTGAAATCCTCACAATAACCAGTTTTCCACTTCAGGGACTTTCGTCTTAAAGTCTCTCAACGTTTCTACTCGCCTTTTCCTTACACTTATTCATAATAATCACCGGGTCTTTTGCAAAACACTTAGAGACCACGAGACACGGACACAGAAACCTGGCAGGTAACAGATGGGGCGATGCTGGAGGAGACGGAATAAGCCATCGGCACGCTGGGCATCCCCGCACACAGGCAGCCAGGAGACAACGCAGACATTTGTCACGAGTATAAAACACACGTGCTCGTGAAGGTTCTGGAGGCGGCAGGATGGGCTAGCTGCCTGCAGTCAGTCTCAAACCTCACGGAGCGGCCACAGAACACCCTCGCTGCGTGCGACCTTCTCCAGTGAGGTCGAGATGGACCCGTCAAAGCCGGCCCCGGGGAGCGGGGCCCACGGAGAGCCCCACGCCCACCACCCCCTCGGCAGCCTCCTCTCCCTTCGGATAACGGCTCTCTGGCGTTTGTAGGAAATGAAATTTCTACTTCTACCCTGCTGTGCCGGGTAACCGCAAATAAGGTTGTGCCAGCTGGATTCTCAGGGTTCTAGGCGGAGGGTGCAGCGTGAAGGACTTAGCAGCATAGCTAAGTCTACATTCTTGCACGAAAGGGCGGGGCAGCTAACACCGGAACCCCTCCCACTGGGCTTGGCGACACCCTCCAGCAGAGGGCGAGGCCTGGGGGCTCAGGGAAATCTTTTGGGACGGTTGAGTCTAACCTGACCGCTCAGGTGTTCTCAGGAAGCCGCCCACGACTTTATTCCTGTTTTTCTCAGCCAGACTGGTATCTGCGTGACTCCAGCAGCCCCGGCCGTGTGCACACCCGGGGCCTCCTGGGCGCAGGCTGTGGGACCGCCGGCGCTGGCTGGCTTTGCCCTGGCTCGCTGCCTCCCGGCTTATTTTTCAGTCTTAATTTCCTTATCAGTAAAATAAGGAGAACCGAGCAGTCCCGAGGCTGGGGGGCGCAAAAGAAAGGAAGGGAGCGCAACAGGGTGGGGCCCTACGTGAGGCCTCCAGGCAGCGGCCATTTTATCGACATCTCCTCGTTCTCCAAATAGCTGAGGAGCAGCCGTGACTCAGTTTCCCTCTGCGCCCGGGGCACAGCTCAGGGGGCCTCACACTGGCTGCAGGGGTGCCATTTCCCGGCCACACGGCGACCTCGGTGCCTGTCACCCACGTCCCTGTCCAGATTTCTCGAGCTCTCGGGGTCAGTTCAAGGCACAGTGCTCACGGCTTGGATGTTCCCAGGGGAGACGGGGCGCTCGGCCTGGCTCCTTTCCCTCCGCACCCCCGGCCGCCTCTGCCTCCTCCCGGGGCACCGTTCCAGCTCTCGCGACCCCCGGCGCTGCCTGCCTCGTCTCGGGGAGAGGCCCCGGGGCTCACTCGCAAGCCGGGGGGCGGGGGGGGGTTTGCCAGACGAGCATGAGGCAGCGCGACAGCCCGGAGGGCGGCGGGACTTACCCCACGCTTTAGGCTCCTGAAGCAGTGGATTTTGGGTTTGGAGGTCATGAACTCGTTGAAGCGATGGGAGAGGGGTTCCTTTTGCTGCTTGGGAGACTGGGGGCCGTTGGGAACAGCAGAGGGTGAGGCAGAGGCAGGGGGAGGAGGAGGGGGCTGGTGGGGGGATGTTAAGAGGGACATAAGCTGTGTGAGAGGTGGTGCAGCGACAGTGAAAAATCAGACGAGAAAATAAGACACAAAACAAAAATAAGCATCAAATAATATTTGAAATCCAAAGCAAGTCAAACACAAACAATTCAATATTTAGGCCATGGTCCAAAAGAAAGCGTGGAGGAGACGGGGGGTGAGGGGGATGAGAGGAGGGCTCTTAGTAAGTCAGGCGCCACCAGAAACAGAGCCAGAAACACCCTACAAGCTCATGCAGACTCTCCATGCAGGCCCCGTTAGTCCCCTAAACCCGCAAGCGGGGGGGTCAGCGCCGCACCAGCTCCTGAACCGACGTAGCTGAGGGGACGGGACCTGGGGGCCCTTCGGCGCTACGGCTGTGGAGACAGCAGGTCAGTCGCGTGCGGTTAAACGTCAGGTGATTCTGAGCTGAAGGAGCTGGGTGCCCTCGCGCCCCTGCTGTGCCCGGGGTCAGTTCCCTCATGCACGGGTCAGGCTAGAGAGGGTGGGGGCTGTGGGGAGACGGAGTTAACGGGACCTCGAACCAGGTTATCAACCGTGGAGAGACCATTCCAACCAGCAAGGCGGGTAAACCGGGAGAGAGACGCGCGAGGCGGCTGCCCCCCCGGGGCGGCTCCCGGGTTAGGGGTGAAGGCGAGAGGCACAGCAGCCGAGGTCAGTAACCGTTAGCGGGGGACGCGGGGCGTGTGGGGGCATCGGAGCCAGACTCGGGCCATGGCCAGGGCCCCACCGCCAGCGAGAACGTCCCAGGAGCGCACTAGCTCACTGATTCTTGCTTTCTGAAACTGCACGTTTAAAATCTCTTTAAAAGACGAGAAGTCCGCATCTCTACACTTTACCAAACTCCGCTCACGCAGTTCGACCATCAGTCAGTACCTTATTTTTTTTGATGAACGGCCATAGCTTTCCTTTGGCCTTGCCGCCGAATTTGAGCTCCGACTTGCCTTCCCCTCGGGAATTGGAGAGGCTGTTCTCTGACACCGTGCGCTTCATCGACTGGGTATAGTCCTCAAACTCGATGTCACCGGGAGGCTCAAACCCCGACTTGTAGGCCTCGATGACCAGCTGGGAATCCTGAAACGGCACAAGTGTATTCAAACGCAGGCCGCGCGTGACCAGCACCCTGAAAGTATTCTGAAGCCACCTGAGTCAGAGCAACTTTCCCCAGATTTAGTTTTATCACTGGAAAGGATGAGTGATTTGTAAAACACAAGCATAATACGTCTGGTTGAGGTTTGGAGAACCTTCCCATAACGGGTTTTCTGCACTTGGGAAAATACTAGGTTAAGGATGGCTTTGTGGGCCCTCCCTGGTGGCGCAGCGGGTTACAGCACAGCACTGAGAAGCTAAAGCCACTGCAGCCTGAGTTCGATCCCCGCCTGCCCCAGAGATGACCACAGGGCGCGGCAGACCTCTCCTGGCCCGCCCGCTGCTCCCCTCGGTATTGGACTTCTCAGTCGGCCTGTTCTGCTCCCCGCTCTGTCTCTGGTGAAGCCTCTCACCACCCCTGCTCCTCTGGCCTATACCCCAGTTCTGTGTGCATAAATAATCTTCTTTAAAAAAAAAATGGCTTTGTGAAAAGGAGGAAAATTGGCCAGTATTATGAAACTCCCTTGCAAAGTGCGGCTGTACACAAATCCGGCTCCCTGGGGCCGGGGCAGTGTGGAGAGGAAAGAGCCCAGCGTTGCCCCCAACGGTCAGCAGGAAAAGGGCAGGTGGAGGAAGCCGGGGATGGGAGGCGGGCAGAGCAGCGATCCCCGCGCATCGGTGAAGGAGCTCGGGAGGGTGGCCAGACGGAGCAGGTTGCCGGGGCGCCAAGCTGCACAACAGCCCCTCTGGGTGCAGCACAGACCTGGGTGAACAGGGGCGAGCAGCGGTGCAGCGGAAAACGAGGTGCCCCAAGGGAGGCTCAGCCTACAAATAAATCCTGGGGCTCACGCCTCCCAATAAAGAGAAACCAGCGTTCAGAGAGGATCTCTTGAAATGAGACTTCAAGGAAATGAAAATTCTGAGCTGCTAACCTAAGAGGCTAAAATTGGGCTTTCTGAGATGTCACCAAGGCCGGAGTCACCGAGGCCGAAAGAAGGGGGTGTGCAGCCGCACAAGGGGGTCCCCCTTTGAAGCTTGGCTCTAAACCTCACGGCTACCACCGCCCTCTGGGAAGACGCCACCTCCAGTGGTGAATATTCAGTTTCGCACATCAGTACACGTTCATTAGACAAAAGCCTGAGCCAGAGGCCATGAACCGTCAGGACAAGAGATTCCTGGACGGGACCCTGAGGGGGGCCGGCCCCACAGAGCCCCTCAGCCGGGGCCTGCTTTGCTCGCAGGGGACATCTGACATGTGGGCGCTCCTGGGGACAGTGCTGCTGGGCCGAGGGGTGGTGGGAGGGCAGGGGATGCTGCTGGCCCTCCCACAGGCCCACGGTAATGGGCCCGAGGCCACCGTGCCCTAGGGACCTGCCCGCCTGGGGAGCCCCTGGGCCGGGGCTTGCAGTTCTATCTCTCACCGTGGCCCCTCCACAGGCACTGGGGAGCAGAGTCAGGGACACCAGGTGCTGAATTAAACTGACTCGTGGCCTGGAAGACCCTGCGGACAGCCACTATTTGCACGAGGCCGCCGAGCCCCAGCCGGCCGCGCCTCCCCCGTCCTCCCGCGTCAAGGGCCAAAGGGCGGCACTTACGTTCTTCTGGTCAATTGACTCGGCCGCCTTGACGATGCCGTCCAAGCACTTGCCGAGGATGGGGGTCACCTGCCGGTCCACCTCGGCGTACGTCTTCATGGACTCTCCGATCCGCACAATCCTCCTCTCCTCCATCTCTTGTATCTTCTGCGGGGTTCGAGTTTGCACCCGATCAGTTAAGGGAGCTGGCCCGGAGGGAGGCAGCCGCAAACCCACACGGCTCTTGCGCCCACGTCAGCCAGCCTGACAGGTTTAGGATCGCGGCAGGGACCCAGAGGGCCCCCTCGCCCCGGCCCCTGCGCCCGAACATCTCGACGCCCTCCCCTCTTCGATCTGCCAGTTCACCTTCACCAAAAGCTTAGGGCTCGGGGAACCACCTGCCCCCAGCAAGGGCTGCAGGACTAACGCCCGCCCCCAGCCCCTGCCCCAGCCCCTGCCCAGGTGAGGTTCTCCTTGGCTGTGCGCGGTGCCAAGGGCAAATATTTTCCTACAACTGAAACTTGAACTTCTAAGAGGCTCAGAGTGGAGAACCTGCCTACGGCTTTTTCGAATTCCATTTTTGACAGCACAAAGCAGTCCAAAGGAAAACTATCCAGGGCGGGAAAAGCTGCCGCTCGTGTGGGAAAACTGCTTGCTCCTAACTTGGCATTCGGGGGAGTAAAGTGGCCTCTGGAGCCAAGAGAGTGTCGAAGTGAGAACGAGTCCGGGCGCTGGAAAGCCCAGTGGAGGGCGCAGCCCGGCTCTGCACAGGGACAGTCTGCGCTTGGGGTTGACTCCCCATTTCGCCCTACAGGGATGGGGCGCTTGATCCGGGCACTGGAGAAAACCACCCTCGCGGGGATTTAGGACTATCGGAGTAGAACCTAAGACTGTGGCGCGGCCCTACCTGGAAGATGGTGGGGATATGCGTGTAGTAATATTCGTGCTGCTCGCGGTTGAACTTCTGAAGGGTGGACGAGTACTCTGCTTTGCTGTCCTCGGCCATCTGGTGACGGGCCTGAGCTTGCTGCCGAGCCTGCGGGCCAAAACAAGAGGATGCCTCATGACGACACGCGGTCAACAGCGCTCTAGGGGGGTCGGCTGTCCGCCGAGGGGCGAGGGTCAGAGCACCCCGAAGCTCGGTGTCTTTAGCGGGCGCCGTGTCAAAGCCACACGGCGCTTCCCCTCCCCGTGGCTAAGGATGCGCGTCCCACTTCGTCACGGCCCGCGCCATCCTCTGTTGTCTCGGGCGGGCACTGTGCTGTGGTCAAGGGCCACCTTTCTCTGCTGCCTGCATGTGGCCCAGTTCAGGCTGACCGGTTGCTTGGAAGGCCCTGAGGCGTGCACGACCCCGCGTGCCGTGTTACGTGTGCGTGTTACGACCTGTACATATGTTTTAGAGGAGGGGTGGGGAGGGTTTGCAAACGTTTTCCACCAATTCTCAGTGGGGTTCCTGAGCTAACAAGGCACATGAACCACTGGTGTCTCAGGGACTTTTCTAGAACTTTCTACCATATGTCCTTGTACTGTGCGCCTTAGAGCAGCAGGAAGCACGGTGCCTTCTGGGGAGTTGCATGGTGTGTTTGTGTCATGCGGCTGGGTGCATGCTTTCCTCCTGAGTAAGCAACCATCACACTCATAGATGTGTTCCTTCTCATTCACATCTTGGTTAATCCCACACGTAAAGGAAAGGAACAAAAAGCAAAGCAAATATATCCCCAAACTCTCAGGTTGTCCGCAAACCCTGGCAGCGAAATTCCAAGGGCCGCCACAACCTCATTCATCTGGAGCTTTGCCTATCACCTCCACTCGGCCAGGCCCAGCTGGCACAAACACCCCCTGCCAGATGCCGCGATGGCTTGTCCTGCAGGTGACTTGGCGAATTAGGGGCAGGGCCAAAAGCAACAGGGAGAAGGCTTTGTTCCAGCTCGGCCAGGCAGCTTTCCCTCTGTCTGCTGGCTGCCTTGTGCCACACCACGAAGACCAACAGGGCTGAAGGCGGACCGCTGGCCTGCGGCGGCCTGGCCCTGCTGCCCCACCCCGGCACCCCAACGGCTCAGCACCCCCCGCCTCCAGGGGGCAGCCCTGGCTTCCACTTTCTCACTGGACTGGCCCCAGGGTGTCGGTGAAGGCACCAGGCAGGCTGGTGGCCGTCAGGCGGCTTCCTCTACCTTCTTCCCCATTCACAGCAAACACTTCCCCAGAGAGGCGTCCAGGCGCCAGCCTCCTCACCCTGGGGTTTGGTCTCGGGGTTCACTCTCTGCACTGCTCTCCCAAGGTGATTCCAGCTGCCCTCCTCCTCCCTCCCTTGGGCGCCTGGCGGCTCCCTCCCCGACCATATGCTCTGGCTTCCGCTTTTTGCTGTGTCCACCGGTGAATGTTAATCCAATCCCCAAAAGGTGACATCCCAGCCACCCCCAAAACGCCAGGCCTGCGCGACACCACCCTGCTCTCCGGCACGCAGGCTGCCACCCACCTGCATGCCATCTGTGCCCACGACTCAGCAGGCCTTCAGCTCCCCCGGGCACCTGCAGCTTCGGTGTGTGCGCAGTAAAGCAGACAGACAGGAAAAGCCCAGCTAGACTTCAACTGTTAAGATGGGCTCTGTCTCACCACAGGCCTGCCTCAGAGATGGGCTGACAAAAATCCAAGGGAGAAGAGGGCCCAGGACGAGGTGGAGAGATGAGTCGGTCCTGGTGGCTCTGTCAGACGGCCGAGTCCTGAGACCAGGCCGAATGTCGCTACAGGCGTGTGGCTGAGTCTGTCTAGGCGCGCCTGCGTGTGTGTGCCAGCACCGGCGAGTGGACACTCAGGCAGATGAGGGCCCCCGCGGAACGGCCGTCCACTCGGACACCTCAGCGTCAGAGCAGGGGAGCGTCCCAGTGGAGCCCCCGAGCCCCACTGGGCTGGAAGCAGCTGCCCCCCCTTCCTCCTTGTAGGTAAATGAAAGATCAGGCTTTGCTGCCCCACCACGGCTGGCGTGGATGCCCAGGGCCGAGGGGTGCGGGCAGCGGCGGCTCCGGGAGAGACCACGAGAGTGAGCGTGCAGGCAAAGGCCCGAGAAAGCAAAGATTCGTGGGGGCCGGGGGGGCTCAGTGGCTTCCAGCGCCCTTCCCCCACTGCCGGGCACCCCTCCTGCCTCCTTGCATGCCAGTTCCCTGCCTGGCTGTGCGCCTGGTTCCCTTAGGGAGCGTTAAAGGTCTGTAAAAACTCCACCACGGGCCCCAGGACTCCTTATCCGTCTCCCGAGCCGACAGTCAACACGCCCACCCCGGCTGCCCCCTGCCCGGCTTGGAGCACCCCCAGCCACGGACCCCCTTGGCTGTCCGGGCACTTTTGCGTGACTTGGACTCTGCGCCTCAGCGTTTCGTGATGCCCGTGCACAGTTTATCTGCAGACTCTGAACCATCGCAGGCGCCGGGAGGTGTCGACTGCAAGAAGCCGAAGTGAAGAGGAGTGGCTCAGAGCCAGCCTGGAAAGGAGCCCAGCGGAAGGACAGTCACGGCCATCCTTCGGGGCGCTGGCTGCGGCCCCCGGGGCGCTGCTTGAAGGCAAAGCGGCTGGAGCCCACAGGTCTCCGAGCTGCAAACACTGCCCGGCAGTGAGCGCCCCACCTCGCTGGAAGCCAGGGCAGCCTGGGGCGCCCCCAGCATCCAGCTGCTGTGAGTTAACACCCGGCCTCGAACCCCAGGCCTGGGAACGTGCAGCCCCAACCTCCTAGGGGCACGGGCTGCCCAGGTGGCCACGCAGGAGCGCCAGGCCGGAGCCTGCAGGGCAGCGCTCACGTAGTGCATCGTCCTGACCAAGTTTTACTACGGAAACTTTTTATTTAGTGTTTACTTAGTCTTTATGGAAGACTGGGATTGAGCCGGTTACTAGTGATCACAAATATCTTTTGAAAAAGATCTCCCAAGGGACTCTGGACAGCTCATCTGCAGCCCCCAGAGAGAAGCTCCAGAGCCACCCCTAGTGCCCAAGGCCAAAGCCCCGCCCAAGCGTCAGCTCGGGACCTTTCAGGTCAGTCCAGAAATAGCCACGGTTATCTTAGAGGTAAAACTTCCTTTCTAGGCCAGGCCGTAAGCGCTTGATTTCTTTCAATCAAATTGAAGTTCCCAGGCTGAGCGTAAAAGGCACCGCCTCTAACAGCAGCGTGACGGTGGGCAGTGAGAAGTGCAGAGGACTTGGGTTTTTTTAATGTTGAAATGACTCAGAGTCGCAGAATCTAGAGATGATGCTCTAAAAAAGTCCAGAACAGACCACGACCACCCCGGGCTGTTTCACTGTCAATAGGAAAGACTGAACTCTAGAATGTCCTTGAGAAACCCTTGGGGATCTCCCCAGAGAAACCCAGCAGGGCCTGTGTGAGCGCTGGCCTGCAGGCTCCGGCCTGGCGCTCCTGCTCGGCCACCTCGGCAGCCCGTGGGAGCGAAGCGAGCCCTAAAAGGTTGGAGCTGCAGCTTCTAAAAAAAGAAAACAATACTTAAGAAGCTCAGCTGCAGCCAAGACTTCTCAGATCCTCTTGGGTTCAAGACCAGAAGACGAATCCAGCTTGTGAAACCCAGACCATCAGCTTGCCCAAAAGATGTGGCCTCTTGCTTAGTTCAGCAGGACTTTCTATCTGGACCGCCAAGGAGCGAACACGGTCGGGGGCAGGGCCGGACTTGCCCTGCTGACCCACATCTGTTTTCAGGGCGGCTGTGGCCTTTGACCTTCTAACAAAATGAAGACTACTATGGATAAAGTCGGGACTCTGTTTCTTTGGCTGTGGCCCCGTGTCCCCAGAGGGTGCCCGCTGCTGTTCCTTAACACGCCATTGGTGGCCAGAACTCTCTACACTCTCTTCTCTAACTCTCTTCCTGGGTTACAAGTGTAAGGTGGCGCTCCGACGCCCCGAGACCAGCGTGGGGTGTGCAAGGAGACTCCAAGGTGTGGCTGCAGCCCCACCGACTCCGAGTGTCCTCTGGAGCTGCTGGGCCAGCCGCCATCGAGTTAGAACACAACCGCGTATTCGGTGCGTGGAAAGGAGGGCTAGTGGACACTGGTTTGCATCGATTCTGCAGCTCTAGGCTCCTCCATCACCTCTGATGCAGCCACCAGGGTGCTTCACCCTGGAAGGCAGCAGTGGGCATGGGGCCTTCGAGAGAGGGCCAGGAACCCCGCCTGGGCGGCTCTGTTACCCTCAGCCTGTGACTTTGGGGAGGAGCCAAGCAACACTTAGAAACCTAGTGGCCAGGTTAACTGGCCACCCTTCCTCTTTAGCCCTTTTCCCACCCAATTGCAAAAAGGATGCGCTTGCTGGACATAATGGAAATAATGCCGACGTGCCCAGCTATGTGGTTTAGAAAGTCAAGTCCCTGCAACACCACCCCTCTGCCAGTCGGGGCTCATGGTGACCTGTGGTCCACCTTGGCGAGGAAGGGGAGACCTGAGAAAACACTGCGGGGGAGAACAGCTGGCCAAGCAACCCCTGGGATGGTCCTCAAGCACGGCTGTGAGGACAGCACTGGACAGCGCCGTGACGAGCGCCCCTACCCGCCGCTGACCGGGGGGCGAGTGTCCAGCCCCCGGAGCTCCATGGCCCAGGGGTTGCCATGACACGTGTTGTCAGGAAGGTGTGTGCCGTGAGGAAGGGGCCCTGCGTGCTGGGACCGATTTCTGGGTGTTTCCTGAGTTCAGTTTTTCAGCAGGTGCCGAAACTAATCGGCAGATTTGATTTCTCTGGGATGTGTCAGTGGGAATAAAATCGCCTTCACCGTAGTCACTGACCCAACAATTCTGGCGGGAATTTATCCTAATGAAATAATTTTAAGTTATCCCCCCAAAATAGCCACCTTAATATTGCTTCTACACTAGCTAATAATTACAACAAAGCCTAGTCAGGTGACTGGCTAAATCTGTGTCCCGCCCTTAATGGACTAGTGTGTAGCCTATAAAAAAATAATAGAAGAGTATTTAGTGATAGTGAAAGCTCCTCCTAATTTGTTTTAAAAATAGTATTTACAGCATAATCCCCTTAACAATAAAAATTACAAACAT